GAGATGCTTATTAGGCGACGTTGATTGCACGAGTATTCGTTGATAACTGAAAATTGGGGGGTCCCAAGCTCGTTGCTGACCGTCGGGTCACCGTACCGATGAACCCCGGAAGTGTCCGAAATTCGTCGGTTAATTGTCGTTGGGTTGGTGGGCGTTTTTTCATTTCTACTTTAAACATCCCGCCCGCATTCATCACTCGTGATGAATCCTCGCTGATTATCTATTCTGGTTGTCCTCTAGTTGATCTTTGTTGGTGTCTTCTGGTTGATGTTCTGGTGGTGGATCCGTTAGTAGCAAGCAGAGTTTTGCTATTGGTCTGGTGAAGGTGAGACGTTGAACTCGGGCATTCTGTGGCTCTGGCTCTCCGTCCCGATTCGTTGGGATTTCTGCACGTGCTGTTATTAATTCAGCCACTCTTACGAGTCCATCAGCTCCTGGCCTTACAGCAGTAACTCTCGCCAGAGGCCAATGTGCTGGAGGTTGATCATCGTCGATCATCAGGACCATGTCTCCTTCGTTGATGTTCCGTTGACGTTGATTCCATTTATACGTTGAATGATAACGTTGAAGACATTCTCTGGACCATCTGTACCAGAATTGTTGAGTTTTTGCGTCACCAGATTCCATCTGGTGATTTTCGTTGTGTTGGCGTCGAGTTGAGATGGCTCCGGGATGAGTTGGAGAGGCTCTCCGATGAGGAAGTGCCTTGGTGTTAATACCTGCAGGTCATCAGGATCATCCGTCATTGGGACAATTGGCCTCGAGTTGAGACAGGCCTCGATCTGCACCAGGACCGTATTTAACTCTTCATAAGTTAATGTTGTGGTTCCCAGCACTCGTCGTAGATGGTATTTCGTTGATTTTACCGCAGCTTCCCACTTTCCTCCGAAGTGAGGGGCTTTTGGTGGGATGAATTTCCACTGCGTACCGTTGTGTGCCAATGCTGCTCTAATTTGTTGGTTCTCGGGAGACTGTTGATTGTACAGTCTGTTGAGTTCGTTGGCTGCTCCCTCGAACGTTGTGGCGTTGTCGCTATACATTACAGCTGGAATGCCTCGCCTTCCAGTGAATCTTTTGTAGGCAGCAATAAACGCGTCCGTTGTTTGTCTGTTGACCAGCTCTAGGTGCACGGCTGATGTGCTAAAACAGACAAAGACAGCAATATGGACAGTTGATGGTTGAGCGTTCGTTGGCCTCCACTTTAGAATTGGAAGAGGTCCTGCATAATCGATTCTAGTGTGCAGGAATGGTCGTGAAGGCGTTGCTCTCGGCGTTGGGAGCTGACCCATCAGCTGTTGTGCTCGTGTTGCCCTGAACCTGGTGCAGACAGAGCAGCTCAGTATAAACGCTTGTACTGATCTTCTGCCTCCAACGATCCAGTATCGTTGTCTGATGTAGGCCATGGTGAGTTGTGCTCCTCCGTGTAGAGTTTTCTGGTGAGCTTCGTTGATGATTAACGTTGTTAGCCGAGACTTCCGTGGCAATATCACTGGGTGAATTTCGTCTGGATCGAGCAGTGAGTTTTTCAGTCGTCCACCCAGCCGTAGAATTCCTTGGTCGTCTATTCTCGGCGTCAGTTTGGCCAGTGGATGTTGTCGAGGAAGTTGAGTGTTCTCGTTGAGGTTCTGCAACACCGATTGAAAGTATTGTTTTTGGGTTACCTTTACCCAGAAGATCCTCGCTTCGTTGAGTTCTCTCGTTGTCAGCACTGGCGTGTCTGGCGTTGGTTGTCTGCGAAGTCGTGGCATTGCTCGATTTATCGTTGCTGTGACTTGTAGAACCTTAGACAACGTGGAGTATCTGTTGAGGAACTCTGCCAATGGATGCTGTCTAACTTCAACAGCCACTGCGTGAGCTGATGCTGGTCTCTCTTCAAGTGAGACCTCCGTTGGAGTATTGGTTGTGTTTTGTGGCCAGGCTGATGGCGGTTTGGCTAGCCAGTCAGGCCCGTTCCACCACAGGTGATGTTCGTTGAGTTGAGTCGGTGATATGCCACGTGAAGCACAGTCAGCGGGGTTGTGAATTCCGCCAACATGTCTCCACACAGCTGTTGGTAATTCTTCCTGGATTTTCGTCACTCTTTTGTGAACGAACTCCTTCCATCGTGATGGATGGCTGTTGATCCATGCCAAGGCGACCGATGAATCAGACCAGCGGTATATCTCTGCGTTGAGTTCCAACGTTTGTTGAGTCCAGCTGACTATTTTTGTCAGCAGGAGGGCTGCGGTGAGCTCTAGGCGTGGAATCGTCATTCTCTTCAGAGGTGCTACCCTTGTTTTCGCACACATCAAGTTGACTGTTGGTGTTTCGTTGCCTCGTTGAGTTCGTAAGTAGACGACTGCCCCCATGGCAACCGTCGATGCGTCTGCAAATCCATGTATTTGTACGTTGGTGATTGTTGGAGATAGGCTCAGCCATCTGGGGATGGAGAGCTGGTCGAGTTGCGTGAGTTCGTCCCTGCACTCTTTCCACCGTCGTACGTATTCAAGTGGCAGTTGATCATCCCACGTTGATTTTAGCAACCAGAGTTCTTGGATTAATATTTTTCCTCGAACTATGATTGGTGCGATGAATCCAAGAGGGTCGAAAATCTGAGCTATTTCCGACAACAGTGTTCTCTTGGTGAAGTTCGTTGAGTTGAAGGTCTTTGCTTTGTAGTGGAATGAGTCCGTTGATGGATGCCAACACAATCCGAGAGTTTTTATCATTGTCTCTTCGAATTGCACTGGACCTGCCGTTCCCGTTGACAAGTTGAGTTGCTCGAGTATCTCTGGGTGATTGCTCGTCCACTTTTGGAGTGGAAATCCGCCCGCATGGCAGATTTGTTGAAGTTGCGTTATCATTTCTGTTGTTTCTTCCTCTGAGTCAGCTCCACCATAAATGTCGTCGACGTAAGGCCCTTTAGTTAGCGGTGGCACTGCTGCTGGGAATCGTTGACCTTCATCATTGACTAGCTGCTGCAGGACTCTCAGCGAGAGCCATGGGGAACATTTCTGCCCGTATGTGACTGTGGTGAGTTGGAAGGTCACCAGTCGTTGTGTTTCATCTATCCACAGAATACGTTGCAGGTCAGTCATCTTTGTGCACGTTGATTTGTCGAAACATCTTGACGATGTCGGTGCCAAAGACGATTCGATGTCTTCTCAACCATGTGAGAACATCCATTGCATCCACTTGAAGCTTCCCGCCCGCGTGGAGGATGTCGTTGAGTGAGATGCCCGAAGTTGTTTTGTTGGAGCCGTTGAAAACCA